CCCCCCCCCTCCGAAGCCACTCCTCGGGTGATTTTTTTGCTGAGGATGAGGAGGGCCGGTGGTGGCCGCTCAACCACATCTGACAAAAGGTATCATTTAATTTAGAGCTACTATTTTAGGGGAGAAAAGTCCTTTTGTTTCTTTTTTTTTTTCCTGAGGTTTTGGACATTTTTGGCAAAATAAGTATGACCTCAACACTGCGTTTACATATTTATTTAAAGTTCAGCCATTCTCCATCAAGCAACACTGAAAAAACCCTTTTCTTCTTAGAATCATAGAGTCATTATGGTCGGAAGAGACCTCAAAGATCATCAAGTCCAACCGTATACCTGATGCCACCGTGCCCACTAAACCACGTCTTGAAGTGCCACATCTAAACGTTCTTTGAACACCTCCAGGGATGGTGACTCCACCACCTCCCTGGGGAGCCTGTTCCAATGCCTAACGACTCTTACAGTGAAGAAGTTCTTTCTAATGTCAAGCCTGAACCTCCCCTGGTGCAACTTGAGACCGTTTCCTCTTGTCCTAGATCTTGCATCGATCTTCCCCCGTGCTGGCTCAGCTCTGCCCGTTGACCTTTCCAAAGATAAAAGGCGACATCGGCACAGTTGGCAGAGTTTAGCTGCAGCGGTAGCCAGGGCGTAGGGCACAGTCTGTATTTATTTATTACGGGGCGTGATTTATTTATTGCCAATGCCTTAGCATTGGGGTCAAGAAACAAGACGAATGTCCTTCTGAGCATCCCAAGGTCAGTCCCTGTGATAATAGCTCAAGGCCTACGTAAGGGTAGGAGAAATGACAACTGCCGTGCTCCTTGAGCACTTCTAAGAAGGGTAATATGCATCTTTTTTACCAATTTTGGGGGTTTTCTCCAAGCATCTATACTGCTGAAGGCCATCTTTGTATGAGCCAAAAATGCAGCCCCCCGCTGAGGAGCAGGATTTAGCATCCCCCAGCAATGACACGGTGGATGCGGCTATCTAGAGGGAGCTGCTGATGGACCTGGCCAAGTCAAAGGCACCTACAACCTCTGCGTTGTCCCCTCACAGGTTGGCCCTTTGACAACACCATGTGCAAAATGAGCGGTCTGGTGCAGGGCATGTCTGTCTCCGCCTCTGTTTTCACGCTGGTGGCCATCGCCATGGAAAGGTACATTAGCGTGGGTATGTGGGGACACGGGGACCAAGCCACCCCCAGCGTGTTCAGGTGTCTTGTGTGGTTTCCCTCATGGGAAAGCTCCTGGGGACGTCAGGAGCACGTCCCACCTCTCCAGGAGGACCACAACCTGCCCATGGGGCATCCCAGCAAGGTGTCCTTCCCTACCCTGGGCTGAAAACACCAAAGCTGGAGAGATCCCAACCGATCTCTGCCACCGAAAGCCGTATGTGAGAGCAACCCACCTTACCCTCGCTTCCCACCCCTGGGTCCTGGCCGCCCTCCTTCCCCAGGGACGTCCCACCAGGTGCCCAAAGCGACCACCTTCTGCCCTCCCACAGGTTTCGCTGCATCGTCTACCCTTTTCGTCAGAAGCTGACGCTGAGGAAAGCCCTGGTGACCATCGCCATCATCTGGGTGCTGGCGCTGCTCATCATGTGCCCCGCTGCCATCACCCTGACCGTCACCAGGGAGGAGTACCACTTCATGGTGGACACCTACAACAACTCCTACCCCCTCTACTCCTGTTGGGAGGCCTGGCCTGAGACGGGGATGAGGAGGATCTACACCACCGTCCTCTTCTCCCACATCTACGTGGCCCCCCTCGCCCTCATGGTCGTCATGTACGCCCGCATCGCCTTCAAGCTCTTCAAGTCGGCGGCGCCTGCCCGAGGCCAAGAGGAGCCGGAGGGGAGGAAGGTCTCCCGGAGGAAGGCCAAGGTCATTAACATGCTCATCATCGTCGCCCTCTTCTTCACCCTCTCCTGGCTGCCCCTCTGGACGCTGATGCTGCTGATGGACTATGGGCGGTTGAGCGAGGGTCAGCTCCGTCTGGTCACCGTCTACGTCTTCCCCTTCGCCCACTGGTTGGCCTTCTTCAACAGCAGCGCCAACCCCATCATCTACGGCTACTTCAACGAGAACTTCCGACGGGGCTTCCAGGAGGCTTTCAGGGCCCCCATCTGCTCGCTCC